GCATACGTTTGATAATTCAGCGAATGTGGAAAGTACTTATGCATACGTTTGATAATTGTACCTGATGATGACAAAACCTTGTCGAAACGTTGTACATTTGCTGTCATGTTAAACTTACATTAAAGTTTTTCTTCATTACCCATTTAAGCCGTCTCCAGCCATTATTAGTCTCAAAGTGGGTTCCTCGTCATCGAACTATGTGATATGAGGTATCATATCAGAATTTTATGAAGACACACAAAATATGTTAAAAATTATAGTATGGAAACTATAAAGGTTAATTTGGAATCAAGATTTAGGTAAAATTGACCAAGCCCATAGTAGAAAAGGTAATCAAAACTTATAATTTATCAACCCTTGATGTAACTAAATACCTTTTTATCATTGCCTTACAGTCAAAACTGAATTTTTAAATGATATATTCCTGTAAAGCAAATTAATAATTTTCTTTCTCTATATATATATTACACTTTTTTAATAGACAAATTAAAAATGCTATTTTATTTTCCTTAGGTTTTTCATTATCTTTGTAATGCTTGTTTGATGTATCTGTTTTGAATTAATCTTACGTCTGTATACCTTTATATTCAGAGTTGAATTTTAAATAGAATGATTATAACCTGGCACTGTAGGTTCTCTTTTAACTGCTTTATATATAGTTGTTAATATTTTGCAGTCAACATAATGGTTAAAAATTATTGAAAAAAGTTAATATATTATTTAGAAGTACATTTTAATTTCTGGTGTGAAGTCTTTTTACAAAGTGAATATCATTACTTACGAGCAAAATGCCTTTCTTTCTGAAACATTTAAGTTTTCTTTTCTTGGAGCAAGTTTCTTTGCCAGTCTTTCATAGTTTTCTTTACAAAGATCAATCTCTTTAGTTTCATCCTGTGAGCATGTTTCTACAATATAAAAAAACACATCATTTCAAACAATTTCTTAAAATCAATAAAGCTGACATGTATAAATAAGTTGTAAAATATACCTAAATTAAAACTTTTATTTAGCAATGTTTTATTCCATACATTAATGACAGGTTAAGAAACAACTACTGAATGAAAAATAATTCTTTAACTGTAATTGTGCAATGTAAAGCACACTTTCAATGATTTTAATAAATAAAGTTGCCAGAAATTGCTCATAATACACACAATTAGCTAAGAAATGGAATACATAAAAAATGAGCAAAGGGCAAAAATAAGTATAACGTACAATATATCTAAGATAAATCAGTTAACAAAATAAAAACACAGTGACATGATGTGGTTTCTTTGCCCATATACATTGCAATGCATGCCTTGTTGAACAGAAAATGTACAAGTGCAAAATTTTGTTATATATTCTCACTGTAAAAAACATCAGAAGCTGTGTCTGTGAATTAAAAAGGATGTGATTAATAATGTTGACTTAACCTGTTTAAAAGGTGATTGATAATGTTGACTCATCTTGTTTAAAAGGTGATTGATAACATTGAGTTAACTTGTTTAAAAGGGATGTATTGATAATGCAGACTCAGCTTGTTTAAAACAAACTTTTCATTTAGGCCATTAAAGATATTTTGTATCTAGCTTGAAGATGATTGAATGCTCAATGCTTTCACATTGTATCCTGTTCTGTGGGGTGTGTTTGTTGGCAAATCCATTACAATTGGCATAATTGCAGCATCTAGACACAGAACAAACAGTGGTGCCTTTACAGATTAATTTTAATTGTTCACAAAAATAGTCGTCTAGACTGGACACTCTTTCCTGATTACAAAATTATTAACTCCAATGTGAAGATTCTTCATCCCTTCTAAGCATTTTCAATTTATCCACATGTCCCTCTTCTCTTTCTTTCTGTTGAACATCCTCTTTTGAAGACTCATCTAGCTCAAAACATTCTTAGTGAAAGAATCACTGTGTTATTTCTCATCCATAGCTATACTTCAAGAAATGAAGGAACTATTCCAAGGTCCTTTGTGTTCTAAAACCATCAGTATTCAGCCTAATTTAACTGTTTAACACCTTTTGACCTTTGACATTTTGGATGAAAAAATGTCTTCACAAATTAGTTGTCTAAGCCATATAAACTTTTAATTATAAACTGAATGCTTGACATGCAAGTCTTTTCACCACTGCACATTTCATCTGTGAAAAACCTCTAATAATTAATGTTTTTCTGATGAGTGACATGAGCATTTGACCTTTGTACTGCTACCATGTTCTATTTCTATTACTGCTAAGTATAGATGTTCTCTTCCAGATTTCAATTTCACTAAATCTGGTTCTTTACGCATACCCTCGTCTCTGAACTTCTCTGACTTTTCAAGGCAATGTTCATTGGCTGTCTATAGTGTTTAGCCTGCAGGCCTAGTGATTGTCAATTTCTCATTTTCTTTTTTCAGATATATATCTTCTCCTTTCAGAATACACAAAATCAATGCACTGTTCTAAATGTAGATATTTAATTATTATTTATCTATATTTGAATAATGACCTCCATTTCTGTAATTTCAACTTCTTACCCCATTTCATTGAAAACATTTCTTCTCATACCATGCTCAGTTTCTCAGACCTTGCCCCCTGTTCCAAGTTACATGTATCTTTATTTCTTGTTCTGATTTATATCTTCTTAATACTGCTTTTTCCTGTTTGACAAGAGTATATTTCAAAGTGGAGGTCACTAACTGTTGTGATCTTTTCTCTGCATCATTCTCAGTTTTCCAAATTGTCACATAAACTACTAATGCACTGTGCTTTGAAGCTGCATGTAGAAATTTCATGCCAATTAGATTGAAAGTTGGGAGCATTGCAGTACTATACAATTTAGCGTTTGTTCTTTTTGGGTTGCTTCTACTAGTCATAGCTCTAGGTAACATGTTATAGAGATTGAACTGATTAGTGAGAACTCTACAAGAACATGTATTTTCTCTACTATCCAACTCATTTTTTCGTTTGGTTTTAATGATGTATGTTAAACATGGTATTAGCTTAAAATTCAACAATAAAATTAAATCCACATACTCTCTACTCAGAATAATTTACATATTAAAAAATGTAATAATAAAAAAGCAAAAACACAAACTATTAAATGGCTCTAAAACCAAAAACAGCATTTAGTAAATATGTCATTTTAATTTGATCTAAAGAGCAAAAAGTTTTCAGTTTAAACATTTTTATTTTTTACTGTCATTACTTTTGATGAGGGGAACTAAGTATAAGAAGATATTTTAAAAAGCAATAGAACCAGGCTTACCTGGAATTTCGTTTTCTCCTTCAAAACAATCACATATTAGTCCTACAAAATAATCATCATTATACACAAATTAGCACATTTGTATTTTAAAAACATAATACAACAGTTATAATACAAGTATCTTCCAAGAGATCTAACAATACTTTTAAATATATTAAAATTATTTAAAACTTGTTATAACCTAAAAGTCTGTTGTAACATTTACACAAGAGTCAGGAATTAATATAGAATATATTTTGAGACCAAATAATAGCTCCATTTCTCATCTAAAATAGCAGAAAATTTAATATTTTAATCATTCAATTATTCAAACATTATCTATGGAACAATATTAAAACTTTCTTTAAATTCTTCATGATGACTGCAAACTAATCTTTCATTGTAAGATAGTTACTTTAAGCTAAAGGAAATACAGTAAGCAACAAAGATGATAATTTTCCATTAGAAGACCATAATAAAATTAAACTGTCCAAAGAAAGATCAAGATCACATGTAATAGTAGTGTTAAATTACTAGACAGTTCCAGACAGTTTGATTAAAATTCAGCTTATCACTGTCTGTCAGATGAGCTGAATTTTCTATTTATTGTATATATATAGAATAAGAAGAGTGTATATAACCACTGCCAGCTTAGAAAAAGCAACATTATAACAATTATTGTTGTACAAAAATCAATTGTAAATTGAGGAGATACCACACATGGGCTGATATGGAACTTCATACCAATGCAAGACGAAATAACCATTTAGAGAAGCGCCTAGGGGTCAATTTTCGAGAGAATGTTATGACATAAATAATAATACACTTCACCAACTTAATACAGATCACACTTTAACAGTTGTTAAGTAACTTCCTAATATAAAGATTATCTCAACCACTACCACATCTGCCATATCCAAACCAAATCTGGATAGCCACTTGAGCACCCCCAAAACCTCTTGATACTTCATAATATGAAATATTAGAAAATCTAAAGTTTAGCTACTTCTTAAACAATCCATTACATGTCCACATGCCAATTTTGATGAAAATCAGTGCAGCCAATCCTGCAAGCTTCCAAAACCCTGCTGACCCCCTCATTTAGGATCTCAATATGAACATTTCCAAGATTTAAATGTACAGTAGATGCCAATATTGAATGATCCATTACATGTACATGTACATTTTCATATATATTCCAAACAGCTCACTTGACCTTTACATGGCAGGGTTCCAGCTTGAAAATTTACAAATTATTAAATTAGATTACGTTCCTTACATGTTAATACCAATTTTTAAGTAAATCATTTAGCCAAATTTTAGAACCCACAAAAAGCTTCATTGTTGCAGTCCCCTCAAGATTCTTTAAAAATATTTTCCTTTATATTTTGTGGGGGTCAACAGGCTGCATGTATAATTTAAAGTCATTTTGTCCAAAATTATGGGAGGTTAAAAATCAAGTTATCAACAAAAATAAAACTTCACACAATGGTTCAACTGAGAATTATTAAATAAATGAGTGAGCAATGCATATTGCACTGGCAAATGGAAATCTTGGTTTCCACTGGATTTGTGACCTTTAGGTATTTAGTTGTTCATACAATATTCTAACAGTTTGTAAAAGTATTATTGTTTTATTTCTTAATATTAAACAAGTGTGATGAACAAACGATCAATACTAAGAAACATTTTCTTTAATAAGAGATGCAAAAATGACATTTTCCAAATAGATAGGCTGTTTTTATGTGTCTTATTATTACTTTTCTATATTCTTGATTTCAACAGCTGGTTAAAGTCAGCATTAACAGTCTGTACATAAATATGCTACAGTGTCCTAGAAAGGCTTTTAACATTATATTATCATTGTCAGCATGCTTAACAAATAATGAACAAGTTTATTCTAGCTATATTATGTTGATCATAAAAACATTACAACACCAACAAAGATATTCTACAACAGAACAACTTACCGTTCATAAACAGAATAAACAGGATGCTTCTAACAGCACTATTATGCTTCATTTTACTGCTGTCTACATGTTAAAAAGAAACACGAGTATTAGAGACGAAATTCATGAACATCTCTGTATTTTTACATAATGAATAGACATTTTGTATCTTTATTTTAAAAAAGTGTTCAGTATTAGTATTTGTTTCTCTCATCAGGGTGTTCATGAAATATTGCTCCTATTAACACATACAAAACTCGGCAAAATTTCAAATCCCTCAAGAGAATATTTGCGTCTCAGTGACCAAACAATTAAATCCTGTAAATCAAATTTTTCTAGGTTAACTCTATGTCAAGGGTGGGAGTCAAAGTGTTTATATCACAACCTTTTACAGAGTGTTATTCAACATGTTACTATGTATTTGATGTCAGAGTTATCAACTATATTGCTGACTTAGCAATAGTTCATGATTAGGGAGAGTAAATACTACATACAGTATACAGGAACACTGAAAAAAACTGTAGATATGCATTCTGGAGGTTATAGATATGCAAACTGTAAATGGATGGAAGTTCCTTTATTCCTCACATGAACACAACATTGCACTCCAACTTGTCAGTCCAAGTCAGACTGAGGTCATCAATTCACAGACACACTGTACAAATAACACACATGATTTTCTGCACACAACAAACTTGTATATTTTACAAAAGCTAGCCACATTTTGCATAGATATACATAATAAATTCATAATCAGTCAACATTCCTTCTTTAGTGTGAGGTCACTCCAATGGACTGACCCCATGCATATTCAGTTAACATCAACATCTTTGATTTATTATATAATTCTTATATTCAATCAATTAGAAATAAGCCTTTAGTTGGAGTATAAAGCCTTGAAAGTACATGTAATATATTTCAACTAGTTGGATCACACTAATAAGTAAGTATTCCAATTTCATAAACCATATCCATTGTATTATAATTTCTTATAATTACTAAAAATTATGAATACACTTTACAATTCATTAATTCTATAGTACAAACATCAAAGATACTGATAAATATTAAACACTGTAAAAAATTTGATAAAAATAAAGAGAATGCAATCTCTTGGGATCAACATAAGGTTTGTTTTCACATTTTAATAGCTTGTATAACTAAGTAACTTAATTTTTCTTAACTCTTCTAAAATATTTTTATTTAGTATTCAAGTGCTCATGCATAAAACATACTTACTATAGTGTTGTAAAAGTACAAGTAATTTACATAATGGTAATATTACCCATGGCAGTAACTTATCCTTTCAGCATTTCTGTAACTGGGTGAAGACTACATTGTTCTAGATGGTTTACAATGTATTTCAAACAGATAAAAAAAAATACTGATAGTCGTGTAATTATTCAAAATAATTACAGTTTTATTATATAAATATTTATGTTTTGAAAGTCTTGTTACTGTTTTAAATAGTGATACACTACTTAATACTTTACAAAATTAATAAATCATTTGCTCTATTACTGCTTACAACAGTAAATTAAATACCTATGATAGTGCTTGATTTATCATTTATCAATTTTTTATCTCTCTACTTTTTAACAGAAATATGTTGACTTCATAACTTGTGAATTTCCGTTTATGTGGAAATAAACTGATTAAAAACTTGAACATAGCCCATCAGTGGATCATTATTACAATTCAATTTGAGTTTTAAGCACAAAGTAAACAAATCCAAAATGTTTGAGGCCCTGTAATGAGGATTAAATTTCTAAGGTTAGAGCATCAAGAATTTGCTTTTTTTTTCAGAGTTGATGGATACAAAAGTAGTAACATAACTGTCAAATACTTCTTGTAGTTGTTGAGAAACACAGAATAATACTCATTCTTAATGTATCTGATTCACAAATTGTGGTCTATTTAGTGCACGTTTCAAAACGCTCAATCATTTTCTCAACTGTAACTCAGAAGATGAGCATAAGAAGATTGAGGTATGAGTAATGCTAGAATGCTAAGGGATGTCATGCCAGAGTATTTCTCTTGAAATACTTGTCAGGCTCTCTTCATGTTGGCTGCACTACCTGTTGTGTGTAAACCAAGAAACCTTGCATCACCATTTTCAGGTCTTCTTCATATCATTAGTACTATCTTTTCTACAACCCCAAGGAATCTTGTAGCACCACTGTTAAATCTATTATGTAACACCAAGGAATCTTACACCATCACTGTCAAGCCACTTTCATATTGTTAGTACTATCTATGATACAACAGGTTTGCTGCAGGTTGTTAATGCTACCTACTGACTAAAACCCTGGTTGATATGTACAAGTCTACTAGATTCAAGCTATGCATTTATTACCAATTTCATCACCAAACATATCTAACCACATGTTCCTCAATACTATAAATCAATGTCTAAAACAGCATCTTCTCTAGAATAATCTTTGACACAGAGTGAGAAAGCAATCCCCCCCATCTCATTCTACAGCTTAATATAGAAAAGTCTTCCAGTTAATTCTCCATGATATTATAATAAACTTGTTTCTATAAGCAGTTTAACTGATTTGCCTATATATATATTCCAACTATTGTATATTTCTTTAACAGGATATTAGTAAAAATTCCAATAAACATCTTTTTGCCTTTAATTTTAGGAACAACTCAAACACACTCTATACTTTTGTCATCCTTTGCAATATCACCTCTCTTCTAAGGTTTCAATCTTCTTCTGGCCAATGAGTAACTTTCATCCCAATTTTTATATTCACAGTCACTAACAAAGTCATTAAACCTTTTTAAACAAAACATCTTACCAATCTTCATTTAATCAAACAAACTAGAAGCAGTGATAATTTCAAACTCCACCAACTTATTGCAAATGCTTCTGGCATTGACATAAAAGAAACTAAACTATTGGCTCCATGTTTTATCAGATCCAAGATATGATTATTTTATCATATAAAAAATATGATAAAATAATCATATCTAAACTTAGTTTAAGCAGTCCCTAACAGTCATTTAGCTTCCCAAATATGCTATTTCCTTATATGATTAAATGGAACCCACGTAACAAGCACCTTTGCCCTAACCATAACCCTTTCCCATAAACCTAGAAATATCCTTGCAACTCACTCTTTTAATGCTTGAAAAACTTGTAAGTCTTCATGATTGGAAGACTGCCAATATTATCACTGTTTTTAAAAGGTCTAAGGTTGAGATAAAAATCTACAGGCCCATTCATCAGTTTGACATCTGTTGTAGCTATGGTGTAAGAATCTACAATATCATTATAAGTAGTCATACAAAAAAAGTATTTGGAAAGTTAGCATTTAATTAATAATTGCCAGTGCAATTTTGGAAAATAGTTTCATTTTCCAGTGTAGGTAGAAAGCTTAAGATGTGTTAGGAAATCAGCTTAGTAATAGAAAGCAAAAAAAGAAATGGGAAATGGAAATATTTTTTTGTCTGTAAAAAGTTTCTAGTAGAAATCTTCAGGCTTATGTTATTTGTTATCTATGTAGTAACAGAAAATTGCAGGGAAAGCTGATTCTAAAGGGAGTACTTAACAGTCTTAGTGAAGCACTAGAGCACAGAAGAAGAGTTTTAATATTAAAAATTAAAGTGTAAAGTTACACATCTGGGTTTTTTCTATTTGAATAGGAGAATTGTGAGAATTGCTTGTGAAAAAAACCAAAAAAAAAACCTTTAGTTGTCTAAAGCCCAGTAAAATCAAAGGCTTTTAACATGCTTACTATTATCACAGCTTCTAACATGTGTAACTTATTGCAAAGACTTTTTAATATTTGCATACAAGAAATCACTTATTTTCAACATCCTCATTCCATGAAATCAAACTTATTTTCAACTTCCTCATTCTTTATCAGTATAGATATAACTAACATTACCTTATATCTTTGCAAATTAGTGATATTCTTTAAAGTTAAAGAATTTCCTCACTGCTATGTAAGATTAAAGAATTCTCAATAAAATCATCTATAGCTTCTCCAAATACTCATATTTCCCAACCAGCTAAAATGATTCCCATAACATTAAAACATTTCTCCCTACTCAAAAACTGTTACACAAGTCTAACCAGTATATTGTACTTGTGCTGTATGAAATACATTTGTAATATTCTCTCTGATAATTTCATGTCTGCATTAAACACAGGTATGAGCCCCTGATGGAACTACTCAACTATAATACTATCCTCAAAAGCTTCAAAATAGACCCTTGCTGCCTCCCCTCCCAAAACAACAACAATAAACAAACAAACAAACATGGCAACATTTGTTGAATTTAAAAAAGCAATTAATAATGAAGTTAAAAATTACAACACTAACTAAAAATATTAGGTTCAAATTAAAGATACAATATGAAGATCACACTTGAATTTAAAAACCTGAAATGAGGTTGGAAGTTATTACAAAAAAATGCTAAAAAACAATAATGTAGGAATTATATAATAAAAACAACTTAGTCAAAGAAATTATAATTTACTGCACATCAAGGATCTTTTTGGACTATCAAGGATATACTAACTTTGAACTTCCCTCAACAAACAGAAACTTAATCAACTAAATCCAGCCCTGATATTTCATAAATTCACCATGCCTTTTTTTTAAACTCCTGTAAAACTGCAGCTTCTCCTACTCTAAATCAGAGTTTGTTTCACATACTTATCTTCCTATTAGAGGATTAAAATGCCACAACTGGAGATACATCTAACCTTTTCAGATCTTAAACTTATGACCTCTTGTCCTCATAATTAAACACAGAAAAAAAATATGCATCAATTTTATTGATTCCACTAATAATTTTGAATAGTTCAATTAATACACCCCCAATTCTCCTCTATCCAAGAGTGAGCATGTTAAGAGGTCTCAATCCTCCTTCTATAACAACCTACCTTCCCTGGTATCATCCCAGTAATCTTCCTTTGAACCTGCTCCAGCAACTCAAAGTCCTTCCCAAGATAAGGGAACCAAAACTATACACAATACTTCAAATGAGGTCTAACTGGTGACTTTAGACATAAAGTCAATATTTTTATATATATATATATTTTTAAAATTGTTAGCTTTTAA